GCCCGTAACTATTTTCACTTCGTGCCGTAAAGTTTTTATTGACACTTTTGTGCCCACAGGCACCTATAGGCACGAATTACCTAACATAAAAATGATCCAAACTTACGTACATAAAACTTTACATCTTTGTGGGCACGGCACAAAAGTGCCTGCCTAAAATTGCCTGGTGCTTTTGTACCCATAACATTGGCACGGCACGAGTCACTGGCGCCCGGCATGGTGCCTATGTGCCAGCACGGGCATTTGCAGACCCCTACTGTAAACATACCCTTCGTTTCACTTCCGTGAACCTCCGCTCCTCGTATTGATTAGTAATCAAATTAAACCTACGTGCGTGCGTGCGTGCGTACATATCTGGCTTTGGGCTATCTCCGTAAATAATAAATGTTACACTGATTATACCGAAATTAAAAACTTATCGAAATAATTAGCAAAATAATTATTTGATTAATTTTCATAAAGGTGCCCAGGAATGATGATAACAGCTGTAATTGTAATGAAGTGCAAAAGATTTGAAGCCGAATCTTACCCAGATTTGATTTTTACCCAATTATCAGGATTCTATGGAAGTGTTTTGTTCTGAAAAAAGAGCATTTTCCGAAACGATAATTTGGAGAATTTGGGATACGTTTCTCGAAAACTTTTTAGAATATGCGCTACTAATGACGCCTGATGAAACTATTTTTATAATAGCGAAATATTTTGTTATGTATTCGTCTTACAAGACCTTGACGATTGACGAAATTCCTGACGTTGAGAATTAATTTCTTTCTACAAATTACCAGTTATAAAAAAGGTCGGTTATACAACAAATTAACAAATTCATACAAAAGTTAATTTTTAGCTTTACGTTAAATGAAACCTTAAACGGCAATATTTTTTTAATGGTTTCCTTCACCTAACATATCGGTAATTTCCGGGTGAGTACTGTTTTGTCAACTGGTAAAATCATTTCAAATTTTTCAATTTGAAATTTAGCCATTTGATTTTAACCGAACTCATCCATGTACAGACTTATTAGCCAATCAAAATATGTGACTATTGTACATCGAAGAAAAATATAATTACGTGTCATAAACTTTAATGCTTAGGTTATTATTTTTAATTATACAATTTATGTTCTTATTTTACAAATTCTTATTTACGTAAATAATCGTAATAGTTAATAAATATTAAATAATTATAATGTTCGTTTTAACTCTAAAATTCATGTTTGTGTTTGTGTTTGTGATTGAAGCAAATACGGTTGTGTTTGTGTTTGTGATTGCGGAGGGAAACATGTTTCTGCTTGAGTTAAAAAACGCGTTAAATATTTGCTAGATCAATATTTACGAAAATTATTCTTAATACCCTATCGATTATGTTTTTTGAATAAATGACTATTCAAATAATAGATTCCGGGTATTTTTAAAGATTTGAAATAAAATCAATAAAACATTCAGATCTATAAATACGAACCATAAATCACTTAGTGCTTATTCTTTTTTTTTTTTTTCTTTTTTTTTTTTTTTGAGAGTGAGGCCTGGCCGCCAGTGCTTATTCAATTTGGACCTTATTTTGAACAATAATTTGGACAAAAATTTGCGAAGAGGATTCGGTTTATTTTTCTTTTCATTGAGAGGACCTTCACGTGGGTTATTTGAACTACTAAAAAAAAAAAGAAAATAGAACAAAAGGGAGGGACAAGAATTAACAATATAATCGCAAAGTAGCGGAATAATAAAACGATTATTACCTATCCCTTAGGTTATTTTGAGAAACTTTATCGTCGTACTGAGAAATCGTAGTTGCGTTCAGCCCTATTGAAATGATTATACGTACTTGAGACAATATTATCAGATAAATCTTAAATCCTAATTTTATTTTATAACACTATTGAACAGAGGTAAGATCAATTAGATAGTTTCATTTTTACTTTACATATATTTAGAAATGTACGAATACTTACAGTTCACACAAATTTTTGCTGATCACTTATGCCAACCAGATTGCTAACGCGAAAAAAATTCAGACATCATGTGGGTGTCGCCAAGAAAAACCATACTTAAAGTTTATAATAATCCTTAAAGGATCACATATATTGAGCTCTAGCAAATCGTGACACCCATATGAAAGGCACATTTCTTCACATGATTTTTTTACCTAATAAGAAATTTACCAGGAAATAAAAAGGATATACCGACGCAACATATACATGATTAATTCCACATACCCTAATTCGGGTTTGGGTCATAATCCCGACAAGCGAAATCCCGACAGGTCATAATCCCGACAAAAAAATCCCGACAGCAAAAATCCCGACATCCTGACAATTAAAAATTTGATAAAAAAAATATAGCTAACCCGAGCCTAACCCTCATCTAAAGTGACCTAACCCTAAAGTTAATTAAATTATAAGAGTCTACTTCACTTTAAACATACCTCATATTTGGGATTTCTACCCGATTGTCAGGATTTTTAATTGTCGGGATTTTTGACTGTCGGATTTTTTTGTCGGGATTATGACCTGTCGGGATCGTGCTTGTCGGGATTTTGACCGGCACCCCCTAATTCTGATGCCGGCCATTGCTGTTCAATTTTTTAACGCAGGCCATTTGCTGTGCACTAAATTAAATATATGCTGTATTGGTATATTTCCTTAGAAATAAGCCTACGGTCACTTACCACGTTATGTGATTTGCACTTATTTGTCACGTATTAATTTACTTTAATCTTGAACGTAAATTCTTCATCTGATATAATAAAAATTTGTGCATTTAAAAATTTTTTCAAGTTTCAGTCAAATATGGAGAAAAAATCATTCAGAGTTCAGAAAAAATTTGTTGTCTCTGAAAAATAACGGAGCAAAATTTCTTAAACTTTGGATTTAAGTTTCTCATTCATATTTTTTTAAAGGAATTCTCTGGATTTGTAGAATTCGCAATATTTGACTTATCGAAGAATCTTCATTCTAAACTTTGAAAAAATTTAATCACGGCGCATTTTCGGAATTAGCAGATATTTCCAAAATTATGTATTAATCAATTCTGGAAAATTCTTTATCCGTAACGATTTCCCAAAACGGCAAATATTGAACGACAATTCCTTAATATATACACAACTAGTATTGAATCCACTGCGCAGACTTCGCATGATGCGCAGTCTGCAGCATTATGTAAGCTTATCAGATTATGCCAGCTAGTCTGAGTTTTAAAAATCGCACTGCGCAATCTCTCCAAAATTCTGCACAGTGGCCCATCCCAATGCACAACTTAATTCAATGAAAATTTTCTTAAATGAGCTCTACAACAATATTCATTTAAAAAAAAATTTAATCTAATTCGTGACAAATAGGTGCAAATCACGTGAACTGCAAAATTTTTACTCTCGCGTGATTTACAAAAAAAAAAAAAACAGAAAAAAAACTTTTTTTGCTAACATAAACCGACGTTAGAGAATATCGTTGTGTGCCATATGAACGTAAAATTTTATCGACAATGCTAGTGGGCTTCTAATTAATCAATCATAACCGCAATCTGGTGGCTATCCTAAAGTCCTAGAGCATGATCGTAATAAAATATCTCACCATTTATATTTTGTTCTTCACTTATGTTTAGCTCAACATACGTATTCTGCTCAACTATGTTCTGTTCGGTACTTACATTTTCCTCACCATTTATATTTTGTAATTCTTTCAAATTGTCCACAAACCGAGTAAGTTCACTATACACTTCTTCTGCAGTTGGTCTCGCTTTTGAGTTCAAATTCCAGCAACTTTTATATAAATCTACGTACTCCTGTGGTGTATCTTTTATAGGATCTTCACGTATGTTTTCTGACACAATTAAATTCACCAAAGTAGTTTGATTCGTATAATTTTCAAATGGATTTCTTCCGCTTGTGATTGACCACATAATCATACCAAAGCTGTAGATGTCAGACGATTTTGAAAATTGTAAATTTAGATCTTTTAAAAGCTCTGGGTCTGTAAATCCTATCATTCCTTCTTGTAAAGATATAGATGAAGAGTCTAAGTTTAATTCCAAAAAAACAGGGTTAGATATTCGAGCTTTTCCGTTATTCATTAGTACCGTTTTTGTGTTCTAAACATGAAAAAATATTTTCATTTAAGAATAAGAGTAATAATAACGTTAAAGATATTACTAAAAAAAAATGATAAACTCACCAAATTTCTATGAATCATGTTTACTTTGTTGTGTAAATAGTTTAAACCATCAGCTATATCTTTCGAGATTTGTATTTTCTCAGTCCACTCCAAATCTTTATGCTTAGACAGAAAATCATGAAGATTTCCATTGTCAGCATATTCTAATACTCCAAAACGACTGTTTGTTTCTGAATCTTGAATAAGACAAAGACTTATTAGTGAATTTGTACTACTAAAATATGCTGGATATTAGTCAGTTCCGAGAAATTGCATCTTTTTTCTTCAAATCTAAATAAGATATTTAAAATTTATAATTCAACTTAGGTGAATTTAATGTTGTTATTTTGCAATTTCGTCGAACTAACAAATATCCCTAAGAGCGTATTACTAAATTTGGCAAAATATTTGTTCATGAATATCGAGATAACCTTTTGCTATGTATCGTAAAAAGTGAATTTATGAGATTAAATATGAGTGCTAATATCATTAACCAATCATATTTAAACTATATTATAAGGATTCTATTTCATCGTGACAGCAAACACATGATTTAATTCTGCGGTATTTTATCTAATGCCGTGCTGTGTTGATAGTGATGCTAATTATGTTGCAATATAAGATCAAATGTTTGCAATGCACGATAAAGCCAAATAAGCTATAATGATGGTTACTTTACTAATATTAATAGAATGCTGAGTGTTGCCAAGAGAAATGTACATTTTAAATATGGAACCTTTCATACAACATACTTGGCTTTTATAAATTTAGACGTTAATCAATCTTAAACTCTTTTTGATATATATTATAAAGAAGTTCCATTTTTAGGATGTACATATTCTCTTAGTAATACTTCTTAGTAATAGCCTCTTAGTAATTGCATGTCTGCAGTAAATCTCGTGGTTATTTGTGCTAGTGATACAAACCCAAAAAAGGAAATTCAACGTAAAAATAAGCTAAGTTAATGGAAATAAAAATTTAGGATTAGAACGCTGAAGTTAGATGTTATAGAAATATACGCTTACCTCCTATATGTAAAATTCCGTTTCCGTCACTTTTAATTAGTGACCCAAGACAGGTTTAAACTCTTAGTATCCTGTATTTTCGCTTTTTTTAATTTTTTTTCGTCGTTTCGCTCACGTGTCTGGCTGATCCGGGATAATCACTTTTTACGTTCTCCGATTGACCAATTTCCCTTTTTGGATTTGTATAACGCGTAAAATCCGATGAATGAGCGTGAGATTTGCTTTTGCATAATAATAAATATTGCTAAACACGGATTTAACTCTAATATGATCCACGTAGCGGATCTTACTAATTTGCTATTGTATCCTAATATCAAACCATTTTCACGTGATCAGTGATAATTAGAGGGTCCTCGGGCAATAAATTTATCCATTTATCCTAAAGTTTTTGTTAAGACTTTAAAATGAATATGCTATGGCAGCCACTCTAGAATATCAGAGACCAACAGCAAAAGACAACCTTGGGTTAGCTAATCAAAATTTGAGATTTTATCCATTAGCTATTTATTTCTAATGCCAAGCTTGGTCTTTTGCTGTAGACCTCGCATATATGACGTAGAAACAAGATTATTTCGGAATTAGTAAATCACCGAAATATTTTCGCAATTAGTAAATTGATGAAATAGAACTATTTTTGCAATTTCATATTAATAATCAATGCAGCAATGCAAATTTTGGAATAGTAGTTATCAGAGTTGGCATTTGCACTATTTCCAATAAAAATTTTGCTTGGACATTGACTGGACGTATAAACTTTATGTTTATATGTCCAAATTTGCCTAATTGCCAACACTGGTAGCTATTACTGTTATTTGAAGTGCGACAATAGCAAAAGGAATAGAATCTGATATTCAAATGAACAAGAATATATAAGATTACCTTTAGAGGTGCCTAAGAAATTAAGTATATTGGGATGATTTATTTCAGATAGCCTATGTATCTTCAAAAATAATATGTAATTAATAAACTGTCAGAATAATTAAAGTCATCATAATTGTTTAGTGTTTTTTCTTTGGTCCTTTATTATTTATTACATGATGTAAAGTGTCGAGGTACTGCGGTGACGCAGAATCTGCATAGAATTTGTACAGAATACTGCGAGCATAATAATAAATAATATTAAAATTTTATTTTTGTTGTAATATTGTGATAAGATTAGAATTTTATTTTTGTTGTAATATTGTGATAAGATTAGAATTTTATTTTCGTTGTAAAATTGTATCGCAGAATCAACTAATTTAAAGATAGTTGAGCAAAATTTTAAATTTGAGCAACAGTACCCTGGACACAACGTGATGTGATAAACGACATAATAAAGAAAAACATGAAATTATCAATAAACAAACATGCATCGCTTTATACTTACAAGTTGCAAAACTTGATTATCTTGATTTGCCAATTCAGTAGGTAGATGTTTCATAATAATCGGTTTTTCATGCCAATAACCTTTGATTATAATGCCATATTCCCTGATTTTCACTAGCCTGGGGTCTTCAACCTCAGAATAATTTATCGAGTCTAAGTTATTAATTTGTAATGTTTCCATAGTATTTAGATAATTTCGGGACGGATAATTTGGTGACTTAACGTTAAATTTTCACAATTTTTTATAGTAAATTTATACGAATGCCAGCATCTTATTATATGAAGAACGTCTTATAAATTTTTTGTTGGGAACTTTTTATTTCGAAATTAGTTAATATTTATACTTTTTTTGAGCAACATAAATAATTAAAATAAGAAGTTGATAAATTAAAAGAAATTCTGTAATGTATTGCCGATCACCATGCTTTTTTGTTTCTTGAATAAGGATTTGACGTGTTAATTGTGAAATTTAATTTTTATATGTGCAAAAAATATTTGTATCACGCTGGTACAGATGGTATTTTTTTTAATATGGGGTTGCAAAAAAGATCCCTATTTTAATTCAATAAAAATAATTCAAGGAAAGATAAGAGTTGAAATGGAAGATAATTTTTTTTTTATTAAAGAAGTGTATAGATAGTCACAAAGGTCTGTGAGTCGATATTGTAGTGGTTAAGCTCTCTGGTTACAATCACAAGGATGCCAGTTCGAATTATATTGGAGGCATCAACTGTGCAAGGATTATGGTTGTATCACGAAAGTTACAAACTTGTAATACACACAATTTTACCTATGTTTTAGTAAATCAGATCTCATCTAAGTTTCATCATGTATTTTATAAAGTGACTGTTTTACGGGAGCTGAATAATAATTTTTCAATATTCGAAAAGATTTTTTTGATTTCAGTAACTACATGGCATGCCTTCAAAATTAATAAAATTATGCAAAATAACAGCCCAGTCGAAAAATTAGAACATTATCCATAAGCTCTTAGTTGTAAATGATAGTTTATATAAAAATATGTACCTATATTGCTCTTTTCGATTTAGTTGGATCGACTATTTTTATAATTATTTTTGAGAATATTGATTACAATACATCCAAATAACCGGTCACGTGTTTTATGTAATTACATATGGGTCGCTGCATTTCCTTTTATAGTGCAATTTACTGTAGTTCTTTCCCATAAAAGGAAATTCAGCGGCTCGGTCGTGAGTTAAATGAACAGGAGGAAACGTACCCGATCCAAAGTGAATCCCACACATGGTGTGATAAATTAAATCTAATATAAATAATTTCAGTTTTAATTTATCACAATTGATCACACCATGTGCGAGATTCACTTTGGATCGCCTGTTCCCATATGGAAAATGAGTTTTCATTAGATTTATATAAATTTTAACATGATCGATATTTTTCAATTATAAATGAAAGTCGATTTGCATAAGATAATTGTAAAAGAAAAATTACATGAGGCAATCAAAATCATGAAATTTAATTAATCCCGGATCAAAACAAATGATTAAACTCAATTATCTCAAAATAAAAATATGTAAAAAAGGGCTGTTTTAATAGATAACACCCCATATGTAGAAGCAATGTATATGGACCATTCCGTGTTAATTTGTTAATTTAAAGAACAATAAGCCATATAACCTTCTCAAATGCAAGGGGCCTTACAAACTTCTCAAATGCAAGGGGCCTTACAAACTTGAAGGCGTAAATTGTAAAAGTGAAATAAATTGTACGACATAGTGATATAAAAATGGGAACGATACTTTTCATATGACTTTCAGTTACTTAAACATGACGAACATATTGTCACGTCAAATGGTGGAAATAGTAAATATTCATGGTAGAAATAGGTGTTCCCATAAAAATAATTGTTAATTGTTTTTGTGATCATTCACAAAAAATAGGTAGTGGAATTTATTTTTGAAACTTTGGCATGATTTTAGCCAATTGTAACTTCAGGAATAAAGTTGATCTACTTAATGTTTTTTTTTTTGCCCCTGGATATCGATCTTAAATTATTTATTTGTTGTTACGAATTTGACAGCAAATCCTAGTAGATGATGATTAATGACATAAGCAAAATTCCTGATGAATTCTTTATCTCCGCTAAAGTTAAAGTTAAAGTCTGCGTTTTTCTCCTTAAAGATTCGCAAAATAAAAGATGATCAATAAAAAATTAATGTAATATTTTTGTAATATTTTTGTAATACAAATTTTATAGTACAGTATCATTGCACGGGCCTTATGTAACAACTAAATTTTTTCGTATAATTTACTGTTACAATATGTTGTGCTCATGTCACCATCTGCTTCAGGAAGAATAATATGTTAATGAACTAGTATATTGTATTTCGAAACTTAATGTTTCTCGACAAATCTCGAACGTGTTACTTGTGCCTACAAAAGGGTCACATCGTGAAATTGCCAAACCGGATAAAGAACGATAATCAACCTAATAAGGGCATAAAGTTTAATAACTCGGACATACGTCTGACGAAATTTACTGAAAAAGGCACAATATTTGAGTATTAATGATAACCAATTTTAGAAGGGCACTTTATTAATTGAAAAATATGAGAATTCTCCTTTATTAGGAAAGGATTAAAGGATATCCTTTTTCTAACCTAACCTCGAGAAGACTAACATTTGTATATGCTGTAAGTCGAATGGAAGTTAAGCGGATTCAGAATTTTGTTTAGGATTTTAGTGCCAGAGTGTAGCTTTATGTAAAATATATCTAACTAAAAAAAAGTAATAATTTTGCAATTCCACTTAAATTCCGTTATTATTTACGAAAAATATATGCACCGATATCATTGAAGACACAGCGCATGGTTGTTGTCCTTCAATAACCATGATTGGTAGTCCTGTCAGATTTACCACTCAAATAACAGATTGTAGTGATACTAATTAATATATGAATAATTTTAATAATTAATATGAGATTATTTATAATAAATAGAGAAGCTTATAAACTCTAATTTTTCCACCCATCACTTTAAAAAAAATAATAATGATTTTATTTCATTTTATTTTAACGCGGGTTAAAGTCACTTATATGATTTCTCCGCCAACTAAGTTAACTTTAAAAGAATTTGTATCACTTTATTTTTACCCATAATAGGTTGGCGCGGAGAATTACCCAGTTTTGGTAATATATAATCATCGTATTGTACTTAAAATGGGAATGCATGATACACGTCAAATAATATATCTGTATTCATCGATAAACTATTTTGGAAAGTACGCACACAACACTAAACTAAATTCCATATTAGATATCAATTGTTACTATAGTAATTTTGTATTCATATTGTATCAGGACAATATGAATCAATTTATATTAACATTTATTAACTATACCCAGATTGTTCATATTTTTTTTTATTGTACATGAACATTTGGTCCAAATAAACTTAAGTGCTTACACGTCTTTATTCCAGATAGGAAACCATCGAAAATACAAGGTCAAGACTATAATTTTTAAAATGCTTATATAAATAAAGATTATTACACAATGAATATTGCTTGCTATGTCCAAATAAATTTTCTCTTTTAAATTGTGTCTCGAGATAATTTCCATGGTGATATCGCGAGATATTCGCAAGTTGCAAGTTTTAATCATTCATAACTATTATATTTTTAATAGTAGAGGTTTTTTCAATACCTTGTTTGTGTAACTTGGGTTTGCATTTTCCCACATCGCAAGCAGGGATGAAAATACCTATTCACTTTCATAGTCATTCAAAAATTCGGTTTTGTTTCAAATTATTTACATTATTTTTACATTATTCTAATGTAAGCAGTGGGATGCATGGTCGGGAAAATGAATAAGAATTTTCAGCCCTGGTCGTGAGTACAAAATAAAATTTCCAATTATATAAGATAATTGAAATTTACATTGTGTTTTGACGCGAGAAGATGCTCTCTTTATACAAACCCGGGTTACCCCTGAACAGACTTTCGACGCATTAACGAGGATAGCTGTTAAAAATCGAAAAATGCCTCTGCTGTATTTAATACAATAATAAATAATTGTATAGGCATTATTATCACCACATTATTTATGTAGTGATAACAACTCATTAGCTTGATAATATAATACAAATGCAATATATGTTACAAAATTACCATAGTTACAAATTTAAGAAGGTCATTATTGGCAATTACCACTAAAAATTTTACTCAAATGATACAAACACGACTTACGCATTGTTCATAACAATTCATGTAAATTTTAAACATTGTCCTTAATGCAAGCCCAAAAAAAAAGTGTCGCTAAACATGATTACATTTTTGATATATTTGAAAGTCGCGTACGTATGTATATTCACAAGTAATTTTACTGGTGCTCAAAAAAATCTGGGGTTTTTTTTGGTTTACTTGTTAAAATACTACACCATTCATGCGCAAATTATGCCACTCGTAGCTCTGGATTAAATTCTATAGCATATCGAGTGGGACACAATCATTAATGATAATTGGAAATTATAATAAGTTGAACGCTTAGAATATGCACTTCTTTTAGCAATGAACCAATGAGAATTTCTTGAAGTATATATAACACCACTTTATAATAAATTAATTAATACCAATTTTATTAAAGGGGTCACCTATGTTGCAATAGATCCAAAAGATTCCCATTGAGACTTTTATAATTTTTCAAACCTATGATTGGACCTAAGTGGGTCAAATATCGAGTTACAACAATGTCAACAAAGATGAAATAGATAAGTCAACCCGTGTATAAGGAAAAAAATATTTATTTATTCAATAGTAAATGACCTGACATGACCCAATAATACAAATAACAAATAATTAGTCATTGATTGTAACATATTAATTAATATTCTATTGTTTAATTAAGTAGCTGCGCAATCTAAAAGCAGGGACGGCATGCTTTATGCAGGTTGAATGAATCTTTATTCATTTATTCAGGATGCATGAATAAATCTACTTATAAAATATAAAAATGATGATTTTCATTCGATGTCTCGCAAATGTTGTCACGATTAGTTAATGCTACCTGTTCCTAGGGTAATTTTTTGAATAATGATAAGGGCAAATTACTAGTACAACAATTCTACTCATTATTTTTCGAGCGTTGAACGCCAATATTGTAAGTTTGGATTTCTATTTCGTTATTAATGAATGTAACAATGGTGC